CAGCTGCCAGACTCGATTGTCTTCATCGTCAGTTGCAACCGCAGCAGTATTTGAGCAGCAACACAAACATGCGTTGAGAAGGGTACGTCTATACTACTGTTATTCATTGTCGTTGTTTGTTACACGCACACACACGCGCACACAGACAGACGCACACGCACAAACACGTATGTACACTTACACAGAGAGATTTGGTAGAAGCTGAGAGACATCTGCCCCATCAGCCTCTGCTAGATATGAGAGGTTCAGTTGGAGAATTTTCTTTAAACATTTATTCATAATGTTATTTTCAACTGTAATAATTAGGACTGTCCTGGATTCGACTTTTTCTAAACCGACTGGGGCCGAGTTTAACCGAATTTAATTCTTTCGCATCAATTGATTTTTATGGTTTTTAGCTCGCCTATTCTTGCCCCAAACTTAAGAACAGATGTTGTTTGATTACAGTAACTTAATTTGTTTAGTGTAGCGTTTTTTTTATGCAGTTAAAGTGAAAATTATGTAACAAAAACCCGGTTTGGAAAAATGGATGAATTCCGGTACAGATTTAATACGAATGTGAATATTGGTACGAATGATACGAATGATGATGACGTGAATTAGAATATTGATGAGAAATTGAAATATAATGGATGAGGAGATGTTTCTCATTCCATTGCAATGAGGTAGAACGCAGCCCCACTCAAAAAATGTCTTCACTATCTCTCTAAATTATTCCACCGCTCGCTTTCCATCATATCTCTATCTAAATTACTCATCCTCTCACATGTATCTTAACTATCTCTATCTAAATTACTCATTCACTCACAAGTATCTTCACTATCCCACACACAAAAACAGACGACGACAAGCAGCTTTCATTGGCAATCGAACTGTCGATGATTGAGTATTTCAAACAAACATCTAACCAACAACAATCACAACAACAACAACAAAACGTACGTCATCATCACCACCATCACCACCATCATCATCGTCACGCTATTCACAACAACAACAACGTCATCAACAACAATAGTAGTAGCAGTAGTAGTGGCGGTGGTGGTACCAATCTTTCAAAAAGTTGCGAGGTTCTCGCGACCACCTCCACTTCTTCCGGTTGCTACTACTACGGCGCTAACTTTCCAGATGAGAGTAAAAGTGAATTCAACAATAACAACATACCCCACGCCGTAATACATAGTTCGGAGTTCTTAGGCAGTGGTGTCTACAGGCAAAGGTTGATGTCAGACCAAGGACACCCTGATGAGCCAAATGCTTTCGGCTTCCGGAAAACTAGCAGCTGCAACGACGACGACGTCTGTGGCAGTGGCGATAATAGAAACGACGTTGATGAGGAGCATAGAAATATAAGTGGGGTTTGTATTGAGATGAATGGCAACCAGCAGTTTAATGTCTATGGAGGAGGTGATTGCGATCTCGCTTCTACTGATTTAAGCAACGAAACAACGAACGATAATGATCAGTGTTGTAGTTTTCTTCCCAGCATTAATTCTGACCAACAACAACAACAGCAGCAACAACAACAACAGCATCATCATCATAATCCGGAATACTTTGGATTAGTTAAGGATCTAAACATTAGCAACATCTCAGTCCCTGAGAGCAAGGATAGGGATAAGATCAAATGTTTCCGTAGTAAGAATTTCAGTAGACTATTTTCCGACAGCAGTATCGAGCGTAGTAAAAATGCCGCGCAGCAGCAGCAGCGTCAGCTGCACCAGCCACAAGATTCTACTTACCATGTAACTTTGAATTTGACTTCGAAAGGCGGCCCGCCAGTCGGAAAGAGTGGCAGGGTTAGGAGTCTGTCAACTGGTCCTATTGACAGGGGAATGTTGAATTTCAAAGTGTTTCCATTCCCAATTGATGTGAGAGAAGGATCTTCTTGTGGGGGGGATGGGCCTGCTGTGGACAGGGATCTGCTTAATGCCACCCAACAACAACAACAACAACGCCATCAACAACCGCAGAAATCTGATCATGACGTCAGCGCTTCGACACAGCAGGCTTTATATAAACAACAACAACATCATCTTCAGTTGTTTAAATATTCGAATGAGAATAGGCGTTTGTTGGTTAATCAATTTCACAATCAACCTCAACAACAACAACATCAGCAAAAGCCTGCCGACAATCTTAATCAACAGTTACATCATCGACATCATCATCATCATCATCAACAACAACCACAACATCATCATCATCAACGCTCGCGCGCTGCAGCTCAGTCCCAGCAGCAGCACCACCACCGAGAGCCTCAACATCATCAGAACCCTTGCTCCAAAGGTAGATGTAACTTCACCAAAAACGAAACGGTGGTCAGCGTCCTTGGTGTCTGGCAACAGCTGCCACACACCTACTACCACCCGTCGTCGGCTTCTTCATCGGTACTGAACAATTCGTCACAGGTGGACCCATCCCTGCCTTTGAAAGCGGTTCAAATCGAGTCGGGATTTCGTTTAGGCGAGAGTCGGTATAATGATGATTTTAATCTGCGAGAGTCGACCAAGAACCAATCCCAATTGCCTCGAGACCATCAGTTCAACATGTTGCCAGCCTGCACTGATCTGTCTGCTGCTCAACAACACCAGCGACATCAACAACAACATCAATCCAACATCAACAGTGACAACATTCCTAAATCTCATTGCATTCCCAGGAGGAAATCAGCTGCTACATTGGTAGACAGCATCTACAACAACAACAACGGCAAAACATCGACCTCCACTTTCTCAACAGTACAATCAACGAAACCAAGCACATCCTCGGATCCCACGCAGCAGTTGCAGCAGCAGTTGCAGCAACCTCACAGACACCACAAGCAACACTACTCACCTGTTAAGCTGCACAAAAAGCAGCCGTTCTCCTTGCTCTCTCTCAGCCACAACTGCCTCGACCATGAGAACAAAATGGTCGACCCGGTAGACATGATCATCAGTCCGAAGATTTTGGAATCACTCTTGCAAGGGGCTGAGGGCTACTCTGGCGGACCAATCAAACTGCCTTCCACATGTGGCACATCATCAGTAACAGCAACTTCATCGTCGTCATCATCATCGTCAGTAGCGACTAATGCGTGCGTTGTACAATCAGCAAGAACATCTAATCTATATGATAGCGCTTCCGGTATCGAGGCTTCAAACAAAGACAAAAAAGTCACTAGACCGTCTATGTTTTCTTTCCCTAATTTGAAATGCTCCCCGAAAACCGGACACAGTATTGGCGGTTGTGAGGACTACGACGATGATGATGTTGAGGAAGAGGAGGAAGAAGAGGATGTTGGTTCTTTCGGTGGTTCAAATAACCCAGTAGCATCAGCAGCAGCTGCTGCAGCCAAGCAAATGCAGTTGACATTTTCATTATCTTCATCAGTTTTTCCGATGACGTCGTCTTCGTCATCCTCTTCATCATCCTCATCTGCTTCTAGGTTTATCGTGAAATCCTTCACAGCCTGCGAGAACAAACAACAAAAACAACTACAACAACATCAACAACAACAACAACATCAACAACAGTTTTCGAAGGCAGCTACAACGAAGTCATCGTCGTCGTCGTCTACATCATCTTCGTCGTCTCTCTCCCCTCCATCTCTATCTTCATCTCTCTCTCTATCATCCAGCTCACTACATCGTCATCATCATCATCCTCCTCTTCATCATCACCATCATCTGGTTGATAAAGTGCATTTAAATGATAACAACAATGATAACCACGCAACTACTACTATTACCACCACCACCACTACTACCACAACTACTACTACTATTACTGCTGCTACTACTACTACTACTACGGTTACTGATAATGATAGGATAGACAATGATAATGATGATCTCCATACTACAGCTACTGGTACAACCAGAAAAGATGATGAGGATGATGATACGAATGATAGTAACAAGGCTTCTGGTACTGGCGATGATGATGATGATGGTGGTGGTGATCATGGTGATGATGATAGTGGTGATGATGATGATGGTGGTGGTGATGATGATGATGGTGGTGGTGATGATAATGATGGGGGAAAACGTCCGTCTGCCATGGAAACTGTATTAGTTTGAAGGTAGTGATGGTGATGAAGATGATGATGGTAATTGGTGATAACGATTGTTTAATAAACATAAAAACTGATGAATGAATGAATGAATGATTGAATGTATGGACTAATTGGTGAACGAATGATCAGGTCTCTATATTATTAACGTTTTCACAGTTCTTTTGTATAATAATTTATTAGATTTTTTTAAGATTTATTTTAAAAAGTAATATATATATATATATATATATATATATCATAATAAAAAATTATTTCAATCCATAATTTCATATGTCCAATCGGTATTTTATTGAAATTAAGATGTTCTGAGTGTATGAGTCTTATACGTGTACAAAACTACAAACGCTTTTTTTTGAATGAATGAATGAAGGAGTGAGTGAATGGGTGAATGAATGAAGGAGTGAGTGAATGGGTGAATGAATGAATGAATGAATGAATAATTTAATGAATGAAACGATGAATTAATTAGCCATTAAATCGTCAATCATTAATATTGATACTTATTTTTGCTATACTTACGTGAAGAATCAACTTTCTCTCTCTCTCTCTCTCTCTCTTTCTCTCTCTCCCTCTCTCTCTCTCTCTCTTTCTATCTCTCTCTATCTATCTATCTATTGGTAATATAACTACAATTTCAATATAAATCAATTTCATCATTTTAACATGCCGGCCATATATATATATATATATATATATATATATATATATATATATATATATATATATATATATATACTAACTTTTGATAATGATATACTAACTTTTGATAATGATATATACATATATATATATAGATAAACTTAGACATATAACTATGTTCATATGCATATATTTACTGATATATACATATGGGAGAGAGAGAGAACGAAAGACAGAGAGAAAGAACGAAAGAAAGAGAGAGATAGAGAGAGAAAGAGAGAGAGATAAAGAAGAAGATGTT